CTTGAAATTTGTTCGACGCAGCTGGAACTACATTTTGCGAGAACATAATATGTATGTATGTATGTATATATGCACACGAAAGCAATGGCTTTCAATGTATTCTTCTTGTACACGTTATATAAAGCTCTAAGGTTTCACAGGTATAAGTAAAAAACTTCATAAATATATGTATGTGTGAAGAGAGAAAGAGAGAGAGAGAGAGAGAGAGAGAGAGAGAGAGAGAGAGAGAGAGAGAGAGAGAGAGAGAGAGAGAGAGAGAGAGAGAGAGAGAGAGAGAGAGAGAAAGTATTTTATAAAAGGAACGTAAACGTAACAACGTAGGAAAAGGAACTTGAATGAAAAGTTGTATCTATTTCTTTTCATTTATAGTCTCGATTGATTTCTCTATAGCTATAAATCGATATTTTGCAATGGCCTATTTTACGGGTAAGCTTCTCGTCACGATATTTCTAATGTATTCTAAAGATCATCTAAAAAAAAAACGAAAGAAAAAAATATGTATATATATAATGTAAAAAATAATCTATAATATAGTAAAAATCTTGTCTATATATATATAAGTGTGTGTTTATGTGTATGTGTATTATTACAATCTATTATAAATTTTTAACGAAACAATCGATTCGTGAAAAATTATAATAATAATTATTATTATTTTATTACGAGCATATAATAATAATTATATTTATTATATTTCTAATTATATATAAATATAATTATTATTATATGCTCGTAATAAAAATTATTGATTTAAAAATTTACTGTTAAAAAAAATATATATATATATAGACAAGATTTCAAATCAATAACTTTTGTTATGTGAATAATAATAATTATAATAATTGTAACGAATCGATCGTTTCTTTAAAAAATTTGTTTCAATGATCTATCGAAAGATTTTTTATATTAGTAAACACGTATCTGTTATTTGTCTTTTATATAATAGAACAAACATTATTTACTCAAGTATGATATTGATCGATACGAACGTGTTGCTGTCTCACGCATAATTTTATGGACATAATAAATTAAATATCGTTCACGTTAGTTAGATCATCCACTAAAACGTGATTAAAATTAAATGAATATCTATAAGCGGACAAAGGTTTTTGCACGTGTGCTCTAATAGAACTTGAACTTCGATATTTCGCATAAATAGTTATTGTCTTTACTTATAGAACCATCAGCGAATTTTAAACTATGACAAGAGTTAGAATGAAAGAGAGTGAGAGAATTAAAGAAAGATAGAATATTTTTATATCGTAGCCAAGACTTCTTTGATAATACAATCTATCTCGTTGAAAAATGTTACGAACTATTATAATAAATTTTAATTTGACGAGATGTCTCTAATTCTATTAGTTTGTTATTTTTTCTTTCTCTCTTACTCTCCCTCTCTCTCTCTCTCTCTCTCTCTCCTTTTATTTCTCTTTCTCTATACGATTTATTCATTATTGAAAATATATCTTTCGAAATAAAATAATTCTCTCATGAATTTGTAATATATTTGTAATATATTTTTTATATATATTTGTTTTATGTTATTTTATGTTATTTTATTTTATTTTATGTTATTTGTTTTATGTTATTTTATTATATATATTTGTAATATATTTTTATATATATAAATATTTTTTTTTCTAATATCATTAGTAATCTTCTAAATGAATGAATTTAAGAATTTTAATATTCATAAAAAGAGATTAAACGAAATTTTCGTCCATTAACAAATCGAAAAGATATTATCAGACAATAAATCTGTGAAGCATTTTACGCGGCGTGAAATCGAATAGATAGTTCGTAAATTGTTTTCTATCTGTGACAGAGTTGATTTCACTTTAATACAACGTTTATTTAAATTGTTATTCGTATTTGCAATCTCGCTTTTCGCTTTGCGTAACCTTCTATATGTAATACCATATGTAACACATATCTATATATATATATATATTTACTACATATGTAGATATATATTTGTAGCTGATACTTGTTTTCATACATTGCCTCTTCGACTGCCAGGTAAATAATATAAAAATTGTAATTCGCGTTTTATTAGTCAAAAGCTTTTTTATATAATTTACATACAAAGCTTATTTATATAATTCACATTAATTGAAATAGTTATTCTATGGTTTCTTAAATTCAAAATATAATATATAATAGATTGATAAATATCGAAAAAATAAATAAAGAAATAAATTAATAAAAGTACTCAAATAAATTATTCTATAATTATTGTAAAAGAGAGAGAGAGAGAGAGAGAGAGAGAGAGAGAGAGAGAGGAAGATCCCATATCGGTATATAATGTATATTCTTGTAAATTAGAATTCATATCAGTTCACTGAAATCTAATCTCTCAACTACGATATGTGATTTGCTAACTATCATAAAATATAATTGTTATTACGCGTTTAAATTAACGTGCAAATAGATAGATACGAGTTTTTCCCTTTTGCCAATGGGAATAGTTTAGCAATAAAAAACGAATATTCTATAAATTTTTATGACGATAAATTATTATCATTGATTTCACTTTGAAAAACTTGGAATAAAATATTTTGTCTATTTTTGTTTGCATAATGTTCTTTTCTAAAGAAATTCTTTGATAAAAAAGAAAAAAGAAGAAAAGAAATTAGAAAAATATTATTATAATATTTTTTCTTCGATCTATCTCTACCAACATTTATAACGAGTCCTGAACATTCATAATGAGTATAGAATTTCTTATGGACATTTCTTTAAACTCATTAAACACATTTTCTACTTTGATAGATCGTCTAACCGGTGTTAAATATCCTTTTTGCTTTTCACTGTTACTACTCTCCTAGCGATGAAGAATATAGTTATATGTTTTAGAGAACAACGGGACAATTTTCTTTTTAATTAATACCATTAATCTTCAAAGTCTCGGTTGCAACGAGTTATCCGATGCATTTTTTTGAAACTTGAGTTTTCTAAAAGAAATATTTGAAATATTACTATATTTTAGCAGCTCTTCTGATAATAATTGAAACGTTACTCTCTATTCATTTCTTTCGGAAGCATTGCTTTTATATTTTATTTATTTATTTATTTATTTATCTTTTTTCTTATTATCTACAACAAAATCTATAAAAGATAGAAGTCGTCGTTCCAGTGCACAATATGCCACTGGTTGCACATTCGATGAAGTAAAGCATGTATTTATAAATTAATCGTATTTTGAATTATTCTCGTGTTCTGGATAATATACAAACGTAGTATGTTCTCTCAATATCGAACAAAAGATATCGTTAGCGTTTATAATAGCTACAGGTCCCGTAACGAACTATTCTTTTCTTCTAAGTCTATTCTTTTTCTTTTCTTCTTCTTTTTTTTTTAATACTTAATATCAGATTATTTTTCTTTTCGTTCAATTACAATCACACTGATTTTCTTCGTAAAACAAAATATATTTCTATTATCTCAATAATAATAATCATAATCATAATAATCATAATAATAATAATAATAATAATAATAATAATAATAATAATAATAATAATAATAATAATAATAATAATAATAATAATAATAATAATAATAATAATAATAATAATAATAATAATAATAATAATAATATAAAGAATAGTAATAATATATTATCGTTAATAATGCAAATAATACTATGAATAATAATGACAATAAATTAAATAGTATATTAAACATAATAATAGTAATAACAATATTAATATCACTACTAATAATAATATTATTAATAGTAATAATAATAATAATAATAATAATAATAATAATAATAATAATAATAATAATAATAATAATAATAATAATAATAATAATAATAATAATAATAATAATGATGATGATGGTCCACTTTAACAACAATGGTTCCAACAATTACGGAGTTCAATGAGTTCACGATACTCGACATGGCGTAATAGCATTGTTACTAATTATTGTTAGCACTGCAATCGTCCTACGTAATATACATACGTAGATATATAGATACATATACATGTATATATGTAGATATGTCATATGCATTGACTGGAGCGGCATTTAAAGTTCGTCCGTTTACACGCGCTTGTTTCACTTGTCGACGAAAACTTGACGGATACTACTGAACCAATTTTATTCAAACATCAAAAATATAAAAATCTCAAAAAGCGATGAAAAATTCTCATGTTCATTATATACGTCAAAAAAAACTTTGACAAATTAGGAAAGGTAAAAAATATTTCAATAGAAAAATTTTAAACGATCGTAAAACATTTTCTTTCTTTCTTCATCGTTTTTTCTCGCAGTTTTCTCTCTCCTTTTTTCTTTTTTGTTCGATTACTTCGTTTACGTCAAACATTTTATCTTCCTTTTTCTTTTTTTCTTTTTTTTTTTTACAGAAATGAAATCTTCAGCGAGGATATCGACGCGAATGAGAAACGATTGAATTAGGTATCTCGATCGTTTTTAACGAGTCTCGATGTGATTCGATGATTCAGCAAAAAAAATATTCATCCTCAAAGTGATTAAATTATTTATTTTTAAAAGAGAAAAAAAAATCGTATTACTACAAAGAGAGAGAGAGAGAGAGAGAGAGAGAGAGAGAGAGAGAAAGAAAGAGAGAGAGAAAGAGAGTGTATAATACTACAGAAAAAGAGAAGTGACTCGTTTCCCTGTTTTTATTCGGCTCGTAACATACTACGAAAGTGTCTACTTATTTTACGATTGCCCTAATAGTAAGACAATAAAATTGTCAAGACTATTAACTATAGGATACAATCTAACATTTTATCGAGTTTATTCGAAAAAACAGAATAAAATGAATAAGCGGATAGTAAAAAAAAGAAAATAAATAAATAATTACATAGAAAATTGATTAAACAATTTTCATCTATGTCGATGTGAAAGAAAATAGAATGATTTTCGAAAAAGAAAAAAGAAAAAAGAACGATTATGGAACGTACACAATACGTACGCGAAATATCGAATTTATAAGCAATAATTTTTGCAACGTTGTCCCTTACCTCGATTTGAGAATAAATCTTCGTAATGAAACTTTTAAAGAATAACGTCGTAGAACACGTGATAGAGTAACCGTAGTTGTTCACCGGCGGATGCGGTTCTTCTGCGGTCGAGAGAATCCCGCGTCCCGTTTATATAAGCCGAGAACTTAGCGACTCTCCTGATCGCTATCCCCACCATACTAGTACTGTCGTCCAATCAAATGCCTACTCCTCTCTTCCTCTTCCAAGAGCAACCCTCTCTCTGTGTTAACCTCCGCAATTCTACCACCCCATACGAACTTGAACGCGATCACCAACACGTTCGCGAATCCGAACTAGGCTACCAGTATCTCTTTGCGTTGCTCCTGACACCCATGAATGCATTTATTCTCTAACGCCCACGCATCATTTCTCTCTCTCTCTTTCTTTCTCTTTTTCTCAATTTCTCTCTCTCTCTCTCTCTCTCTTTCTCTCACTGTCTTTTTCCATGATTCATGGTTGTCACAATACTGCTGCATCGTGACATCAATCGAGAGAACGGGCAACAATTGACATGAAAGAAAATCGTACATATGTATGTATTTAATTATTTTTATACATTTTTTCCAAGCGATAACATTAATTTTTTTATTTGCACTTTTTTTTTCTTTTACTTTTTTTCCTTTTTCTCAAAATTTCGTTCACGTAAATGTTAAGTTTATATAAATGTTTATGGGATAAAGAAGGAATCAAATGAACTTTGTAATATTACGATCTTTATTATTGTTATTATTATTATTATTATTATTATTATTATTATTATTATTATTATTATTATTATTATTATTATTATTATTATTATTATTATTATTATTATTATTATTATTATTATTATTTTTATTATTATTATTATTTTTATTTTTATTTTTATTTTTATTTTTATTTTTATTTTTATTTTTATTTTTATTACTGTTAAAGTATTTATAAAGTAAAACTGTTAAAGTATTACTGTTAAAGTATTTATATTTTTATCATGATTTTTTTTTATATGTATATCTTCGAATACTGCATTTCATTCACGATAGTACAACAATTAAAATTATATTTTTAACACATTGTGAAATTATACATGTCTGAATGTATAATATTACAGAAGCATTATAGTGCTTCATTGTTGCTTGTCAATTTTTATTGTAGGTGTCGATATTTTTTCAAATCCATTTCAAACCATTGTTGCGACAATCCCAATTAAACATGTCATATTTATTCTCGTGAAAGAAAATTATCCTTTCTCAGAAATTAATATTCCTTTTCAACGTACTTTTCTCAAGAGAATTTTGAACACTTGATGTGCGATTTATTTTACTTATATATATCATTCTTTTTCCGAGACGACCATTTAAACACTTTTCTTACTTAAAATTCTTCGATAAGTTTTCACGTGTATACTTTCTTATTAAAGTACGTTGCACAACAAAGGTTACGAGTTTTGGTCCACTTGTTGCATTTTTTCTGTTTTCTTTTTTCTTTTTTCTTTTTTCTTAACTACTCTCTCACGACAACTTTTTCTTCCCCAAAGTATTTATTTTTCTGAAGTTTCTTTAACATGATTTATTTATCATACTTCTAATGAATTTTATAATTGTTTAATTACGGTACTACGCTACCATAGACTTGTTTCTATTCAATAAACTTGAAATCTTCGAAGATGATTTTCCTTCATTGTAACATTTAAATATTAATTTTCTTTTCGCTATAAACACTTGATTACCTTTTCCGACTTATTTTACATCGATTATTTAACTTGTTACAATGCAATTATAGCATAATATGAAGAAATTAAATTAATTAGTATTATAAGAAAGTTCAACATTAATCTTATATACCTTTCTAAGATCTTATTCGGAGATCTATTCGTTTATAATTTTCACGCATTTACAAATCCTATCATTAATTCAAAATTAGTATCTGTAAAGATAGAAAAAGGTTATATAATGTATCCTTCACAATTTACAATTTGATGAATAATACTAATGAAACTCTCGAAGTAGTCGATTGTCGAAAATTAGTCTGATAGTTTCGTTAATAATATTCTTCTCATTTAATGTTACAATTGGCATAGTATAATTGAGAAATCAGAATTGATATTCTGTAATCATGATATATTCAATCGATGCTCCAAGTCATATTATATATTGAAAATAAATGTCTATAAATCATAGATCTATCTCGTCGGTCATTTAAATATCACCGAACTAATACATATGTTTTCCTTTAAAAAATCGAATTTTCAGAATCGTGGTGAGGATGAAGAAAAAGGAAAAAAAAAAGAAAAGAAAAATATATAAATAGGTGGTACACGTTTGTGTATATTTTATACAACAAATAAAAATATTGTGTAAGATAGATGTAAAGCTGAACTTTAAAGTCGAAATATTATGTCGAAAGGAAATGGATTGTAAAATGTCATAAATTGTTTTGATATATCGCTTCGAATAGCTTTAAGCATTCGCTTTCATTTCATATTCACTTTTTCTCAATGTACATTCCATGTCTGAGAGGGTGAAGGACTACAAAACGAAATTTCGAGTCACGCATGGCCTATAATCCTCGAACATCTTTATCTGTCTCTGTTCCTCTCTCTCTCTCTCTCTCTCTCTCTCTCTCTCTCTCTCTCTTTTGTAACAGGCCGAAGGGAAGAAAGCTTCGTAGTGGTGGAAGAATTGTGAGAATAAAAAGAGATGCGAACCACCTGCTGCTTTCCTTAGAGATAGATATACCTATGGACCATACTGCCAGTACTACCAACACAATCACTGTTACTACCAATACCAGTAACCAGTACTGAGTTACATTGAGCAATTTATACTGGTGTACAGTATACGAGAGAGTGTGAGAGAGAAAGAGAGAGGGAAAGAGATACGCGTTATACTCGATTATTCGTCTATTCGTTTTACTATTTCAAGGATATATAGTCTACTCGTTGCGAAATGCGTGGCCATCGCCGCTTAAAATCGAAAACTTTAAACCCATTTCGTTTTCAATCAATCGAATTTTATTATAAATTATTGTATTATTTTTACGTAGAAAATACGAGCTTCGAAGGATGAAAAAAGGAAATAATAATAATAATAATAATATTAATAATAATAATAATAATAATAATAATAATAATAATAATAATAATAATAATAATAATAATAATAATAATAATAATAATAATAATAATAATAATAAGATCATTCGAACGGTTATCGTCTTATTTCGCAAAATCGTATAATAAAATATCGATCAAGTTAAACGAGTCATTGGAAGAGATAGAAAGAGAGAGAGAGAAAGAGAAGGGGGGAAGACTGAAGCAATAAATAGGGTTGGAAGCATTTATGTGGAAGTAGAGAAAAAATGAGATAAAGTACCGACTCCGGACTCATTAGTCACGTCCGATCCATTAATTCTTCGAGTTGAATTTCAGTATCGTTGATGTTACGTCCGAGCAAACGTCAACTTTTCTACTTACTAAGAGATATCGAGCTAGCATCGGTTACGTTTCTTTTAATATCTTTGATTAACAATCCTTCGATCTTTCAATTCCTGAAGCTTTTAATAAAATTTATTATTCTTGAGGATTTCTTTAAAATTAAAAAACAAAAAAATTTACGCTAAAATTTAAAAATACGTTTTTTTTTGTTTTGTTTATAAGATAGATTTATGAAGGAGGAGAAAAGAATCGTGAATATTCAGTTTTTATTACTTTCTTTTTTTTTTCTTTCTTTTTTCAATAAAATTGAAAATTTTACGCTTACGAAAATTTCGTAAATATAAAAATTATTATAAAGAAAATTATTATCATTAAATGTTTCGTTAAGGAAAAAAAAAATTATCATTGACAAATTGATTCCTTTTTAATCATTTGACTTTTATTTAAGTTAGTTATATTAAAAAGGAAACAGATGTGAGAATAATTAATTTCGTTTATAAATGTTATAAATATTAAAAAAAAAAATATCGCAAAGAAAATGATTACCATTAATCCTTTTCATTATGGAAAAAAATTAACCTTGACAAATGGGCTGATAATCGTTGGATGTTTATTTAAATTACATTAAATTAATCGCATAACAAATTTTCCATGTAGAAATAAATTACATGTCAGAATGATTATTTTCGACGTAAGAACGTAGTTCAATTTATATTATTATACCAACGTAGGAAGATTACGGTTACCTTTGCAGTAACGAAAGGTTAAACAAAGACTAAATAAAAAGATTGAAAGAGGTCTTTACGAATTGATGAGTCTATTTTGTTATTACGGAAGGTGATATATATATATATATATTTCGGAAGACGTAAAATGTGAAATAAAAGAGCTTCAACTAAGACGTTGAAGAGAGTAACCTTTGACAAATATTAGATTTGAAAAGGAACAACAACGTAAAATTTGTTTCCACTCGCTTTAGTATATGTAGTAGGGGAACCTTTCGACCCGACGCGTGTCAATTATTTTTTTATTTTTTTTTTTTATTCTCTTTTTTATATTTTTACTTCATTCACACCCACCTCTTTACTATCTTTCTCTCTCTCTCTCTCTCTCTCTCTCTCTCTCTCTTTCTCTTTCTATTTTTTTCTCTTCAATAACGCCTACAAGGTTAGACGAATTTCAAGCGTAAAAAAAGAAAGTCAACCGATCTATTATTCTTCGATCATTCACGAATACTCAAACAAGAATCTATCATTTTGTAATCTACTGTAAACAACCGAAATATCAAGAGGGACGAGCGAAATGTTCACTTTTTGACGAATTTTCTCTCTCGTTGGTTAAAATGATTTGTTGAAACGTTCGAATATCGTCAAAAAGAAAAAAATTGTTTGTCTGCATTAAAATCGATGTTTGAAAGAAAACAGAAAAATAAAAGAAAGGAAAAAAAAAATAAGGATGTCAATTAATGGTTCTTTAGTTAAACAAAAAAAAAAGATAGACAAATGGACAAACGGACAGATAGATATATAGATAGATAGAGAGAGAGAGAGAGAGAGAGAGATAGAGAGGAGAAAGGGAGAGAGAGGAGACATAAAAAAAAATAGAATAACTTGTTTTCATTGCTTTTTTCTTCCAACTCAAAGAATATTCTTCCCTTTTTCTTCTT